ATCTGCGTCCACGGACAAATATAAACTCGTCGAGTTATTCCAGAGCTGCAAACCTCTTAATTAGAACAATTAGCCGATCCGAGAATAGAACGATGACGCGAGCCTCGTATCCGAGTGGTCGCGGAATCGTACGACCCACGCGCACCCATCGAGCGCGACATTGTCCGAGTTTTTCCGCTCTCTACCTTTCCGTTCCTCTCTGCGCGTTTCCTCTTGCGACTAGGCCGCAGCAGCCGATCGCGCGCGATCCAAGGGATGGCCGATAGAGCGGTCAGGGTGGCGCGGATACGCGCGGCATAGGAGTGCGCGCGCCGAAAGTTTCGAACGGCCGGTGAACTTGAAAGCGGCATCGTAAAGTATCCGCGAAAGTAGGATCAACGACCACGCGAAAAGAAGGCTGTGCACGACCGGTGTACGAGCGGCGTACGCGCGGCGCGCTCGCGCGTTACGTGACAATATGCCCCTGAAGTTTCGTTTTGCGGCTAAACTACCGATGCGAACGATGCCATCGCGTACGGGCACTGTCGCGCGCGCGCATACGCTCACGCGCGCAAAATCCTCGGTAGAAAGTTCAGCAACCTCTGTCGACGTTTCGTCTCGTGGCCCTCTTTCTCCTTCTTTGCCCCCCTATAGCCTACTAGTTCGATCGACGCCGACGTACCGAGCGTGTTTAGCGCTCGCGGCCGATTCCACGACGTGCTTGCTGCGCCACGAACCCGTACCACGGGGCTGTGTTCCTCACGGATCCAACGAAAGCCGGCGCGCGCGCTACGTTCCAGGCGAGAACGTGTCGCGAATTTCGTCCAACTCGCGCGCAACGGTGAACGGACTCGACCTTGCGAGTCCGACTAGAAAGCCAGCCGTGTTCTATCGCGTCGTCGTAGTTGGCGATGCCACCGATTCCCCATTCTTTCCTATCCCGCTTTTTACTCTCCGCTTTTCGTTCTCCCACGCGCTCTTTCCTTGCCTTCGTTGTTGCCTTCGTTGTTGCCTTCGTTGTTGCCTTCGGTTACGCTATTCCTCGGTATGCCGAGGGAAAAACGAATCGCAAGAGTGGCAGCCTTGACAAGGTGTTCTTCGTGTTCTCTCGCATGGAAAAGATTCGCGTTTTCTACTACGCGATTTCGATGACGCGCGGATAACGACGGAACGAGCCTGTGCTTCCCGATATAGCAGGCTTCGCGCTAGTTCCTTCGTTACGCTTCCACGTAATCCAGACGATCGCCTTTTTTCCTCTGTTTTTCCGCGTCTCCGACGTTCCGTTGCGTAATCGGCCAGCGTACTACGTCATCGTTCTATCGTCGTCGTTGCTTGCTCGATGGAAGCGAAAAGTCGAATGGTTGAACGCGGAATCGGCCGCCATTTTTGCGACCAGGCGAGACCGTTCGAATCGATGCACGCGAACCGAGCTAGAACGAACTTGGACGAGAGAGCTGCTCTCTTCTCCGAATATGGAAAATTCGAAGAGAATCCGCGCGTAGCTCGGATCAAACGCGTTGCTAATCGCGACGATGCGCCGTAAGTAGGCGCGTGCGTATACGCAGCGATCGTACTTGCACGCGCGTGTGCCTCGATCCACATCTGCACGCGAGATTCTCTGGAGGGGTCTGTCACGCGTACAAATAGCTGACCTCGCTTCGTCGCCTCTATCAATGGCTCGACGGTGGTCTGAATGACTTTTACGCCTCTTCCTCTTACTACGCCCTGTCGCGTGATAGCCTTCGCTTCCAATTCCCCCCGCCCGTCCTTCCCCGTACTTCCCGTTCTTTACAACGGTATCCTCGAATCTACGCCGTCTCCGCGGATCGACGAAATTTCCGAAAATACCTTTATACCCGTAATCTTAAACGAGTCGTGCGCGATAAACTGCGCGATCGAACGGAAAAAAAAATAAACACACGTGGAAAACGAGCGTGTAACTCGACTGGTTCGCGTCTCCTCGTTCTATCCCCGTGACCGTCGTTCGTCGTAGTCGATTACGTCGATACGGTTAAAACTGGTGGAAATTTCAAAGATACCTCTCGTTATCTAACGTTTTCGACGTTGGATAACGTAGAGTACGGTCGATAACGAAACCACGCTGGCGCACCGCGATATCGACGGTTACCGACACGACGAGTCTACCCGCTCTCGTAGCAACGAGATATCTTGGAAACCTACGGTCGGTAAACCGGTCGTTCCTCGCTTCCTACCTTATCCGCGGCTATACCTCGCGTTCGCGTCGCGCGCGAACGTCGATCGGTAACGCGGCACAGACGTTGGCGCGACTATACGTTTTCTATTTTGCTAAACGAAGAAACCCTAAAGTAGGGAACGAGTCGACTTATTCGTCGTTCGACCGTCTTCTTTGCAAATTACTCGCTATAGGTTTTCTCGAAAAGATCCGCAATGATGGCGCGGCATCGGCGAACGGGGGTCGTCATCTTCGCGATATTCCGGTAATCCTTGCTCGTTAATTTTTACGACTGACCGAACGAGAGGAACGGCGGCGCGTTTCGCGGTGGCGTCGCGTTAATTGGATAAAACTAAAACGACCGAGAGCGACTGGATTCTCGGAAGGATTCGATACGCGTATAATCGACGACGAATATCCACGCGGTGTTTGGCGCGGTTGCGATATCGAGCATCGCGTGCGCGTATCTTGCTCGATTTCGTTTCTCTTCGACTCGCGCGGCTCTACGCGAACCCCGTATTACGCATCCCTGTCGTTATTCCCCCGCCAACTTTTGCCATCGTCCAGGGCTCTTTTCCTTCGTCTTGTCCGCTTCCACGGAATCGTCACGGGGTCGTAGGGTCACGTCGTATCTTTATCAGGGCTCGGTGTAACCGTCAGCGCGTTATCGACTGGCCGATAACGCACGTGCAAAATAGTATGCGTCGATTGATCCTCACGTTCGGTTATTAGCGAGGGCTTGGGAAAAAGAAAAAGAGGAAAAGAAAGGAATAAAAAAAAGAAACTCGGCCGACTGGCTCCTGTGCGGATTTACGATTTCCCCGTCATCGCGGCCTCGTTATTAATGAGCCGCGCTATCGCGCGTTCCACGATAATGGCGAATGTGGTCGGTCTGAAAAATAAGAGAATTCTTTAATCGGCCATGTTTCACCGAGGGCCGAGAATCGCTCGAGTTTTTGGAAGGACGATTTTCGTTTCTGCCGCTCCAAGTAACGCGCGCTCGTGAAACGATCGATTGACCGGTATATGTCCGATAATTCGCCAGTATGTCGAGGAGAACAGCGCCGTTTCGGAGTTCCGCGACAGGTAGTAGTAGTTGTAGTAGTAGTAGTAGTAGTAGAAGAGTGCACGGTAGTAGAGGAAAGCGCGAAATCGTAGGAGGTTAAGCCGTCTGGCACGCATCTGCTCGTTTATTTTCGGAGCTTCGCGCGGAAAATCGAGGTCCGGCGATTCGTCGCGATCCAAGTCCCCCCCCCCCC